CTTAGTTATGAGGACTTAAATTTTGAATATATTAGAATGCAGATTCTCCATGGACAGTTTTGCCACGTCCCCCCTCCTCCCACACCTTTGGCAGCGTCTGGAGACATACTCGGTTGTCACAACTTGTTGCGGGAGGATGCGGTTGTCATCTAGTGGGTAGGGGCTAGGTATCCTGCTAAGCATCCAATGCATAGGAACTCTTCCCCCCCCCCCAACAATTAATTGGCTCAAAGTGTAACAGTGTCAAAACCTTGCTCTTTTAATGCTGTATTACCAGGAAATGAGACTCAGTAGTAGCAACAGCAGAGTGAACACAGAAACGACTTACCTAGACTGCTGTGTGCAATGTGTGAGACTACAGGATGTATGTATTTTTAAAGTGGCTTTTTTCCATTTTAGGGTGGTTGAGTTTGCCTCTTATGGTGATTTAAAGAATGCTATTGAAAAACTTTCTGGAAAGGAAATAAATGGGAGAAAAATAAAATTAATTGAAGGCAGCAAAAGGCACAGGTATCTCTCTCTATATATAAAGTCAAAAGTTGTATTTATTGGGTTTGTTGTAGGGTCTTATCTCTTCTAAGATAAGGCTGATTTAGTCTCCTTTTTCATAGTAGGTCAAGAAGCAGGTCTCGATCCCGGACCAGAAGTTCTTCTAGGTCTCGTAGCCGATCCCGTTCCCGTAGTCGCAAATCTTACAGCCGGTCAAGAAGCAGGAGCCGGAGCCGGAGCCGGAGCAAGTCCCGTTCTGTTAGTAGGTCTCCCGTGCCTGAGAAGAGCCAGAAACGTGGTTCTTCAAGTAGATCTAAGTCTCCAGCATCTGTGGATCGCCAGAGGTCCCGGTCCCGATCAAGGTCCAGATCAGTTGACAGTGGCAATTAAACTGTAAATAACTTGCCCTGGGGGCCTTTTTTAAAAAAAAAAAACAAAAAACAAAAACTACAAAAATTCCCAAACCATACTTGCTAAAAGTTCTGGTAAGTATGTGCTTTTCTGTGGGGGTGGGATTTGGAAGGGGGGTTGGGTTGGGCTGGATATCTTTGTAGATGTGGACCACCAAGGGGTTGTTGAAAACTAATTGTATTAAATGTCTTTTGATAAGCCTCCCGCTCACATTTTTGTGAATGTCTGAAGTATATAGTTTGTGTATATTGACAGAGCTCTTTTATAACTAAAGCAAATTTAATTTTTTTGTACTAGAAAAATTTGAACATTTTAGTTCCTGGTTATTAAAATATGTTAATTCAGAATTAGTTTAATGCCTCAGTTAAACTAATGAATAGCTTTGGACACTTAAAAGAGCTCTAAATTTGCTTGTACATAAAGGCTTAATTTGTTTTACTTGTTAGGGTCAAGGGTGTCCTCCCACTCGTTAACAGCTGCAGGACAGACATAAAAGCAGCTGTTTGTTATTGATAATAAAATATTATAAAACTCATTTTTGTCCGTTTGTTTGAGGAAGTCCTATGGTGTTTACTCATCCTTACCTATATGCAATACATTTAGAATCCAGAAGACATCCAGATTCCTGTAGTTCATTATGGTCTCTTTTTCAAAATAGTTTCTTTGATGTGTTCAAGCTTGTCAAAAGATGAGGTTAGTGAATGCTAAAATCATAGTTGCTGGAATTTTGTGTCTGTGCTCCAACCTCATGTTTTTCCTTTGTCTCCTGTGTTACTGGCATCAGGTTACTTAAGCATCCAGAGTGAAGAGGAACATAGTGTGTTTAGAAAGCAACGTTTCTTGCCTACCTTAAAGGTTATGACACGGATCTTTTTTTGTTTTTGTTTTTTGTGTTTTTGAGACGAGTTTTCGCTTTTGTTGCCCAGGCGGGAGTACAATGGTGTAATCTTGGCTCACTGCAAACTCTGCCTCCTGGGTTCAAGCAGTTTTCCTGCCTCAGCCTCCCAGATAGCTGCGATTACAGGCGTGTGCCACCATGCTTGGATAATTGTGTATTTTTAGTAGGGACAGGTTTTACCATGTTGGCCAGGCTGGGTTCAAACTCCTGATCATCATCTTTGGCCTCCCAAAGTGCCACGATTACAGGCATGAATCACTGTGCCTGGCCTTGTTTTTGTTTTTTTCAGGCAGGGTCTTGTTTTGTTGCCCAGGCTGGAATGCAGCCTTAACCTCAAGGGCTCAGACAATCTCGATTTTTGCCTCCTGAGTAGCTAGGACTACAGGCATGCACCACTGCTTGTGGCTAATTTTTTATTTTTGTAGAGACAGGGTCGTGCTATGTTGCCCATGCTGGTCTGAAATTACTGGGCTCAAGTGAGCTTCCTAACTTGGTCTCCCAGAGTGCTGGGATTACAGGTGTGAACCAGAGTGTCCAGTTATGATGCAGTTTTGGTGGTCAGATAAGTTTCTTTTTATCAACAAACAAGAATGCTTAAGGGACTTTGACATGCTACTTTTTGTCCTGAGGTAAGTATGGGATAGTATATGGTTAGGGGAAAACAGTAGTGCAAAATGCATAAGGTCTTAGATCCACATGAACGTTAGACTTACATGTTTGAGCTTTGAAGCCCTGCCTTACATGTGCGGAAAACGAGCTTTATTGATACAGGAGTTTTAAGATTTAGATAATCTTAGTTCTCTCTGGGGGTTAGACTACATAAATACTGAGAAACAGTGAATAACATGTATGTAGCATCTGAGAGTAGCCAGGCACTGTTTCAAGTGCTGTTATGTTGCCCTTAGCCTTCCAGGGATTTGGAAGAATGCAGAACTACTAGAAGCACTGGATACAGCTTTTAGCTTCCGGAAAATGTGGGGATTGGGGAGTGGCAGTCTCCCATTTGGGAGAATTGAAAGGTTTTTGGTATCCTTAATTTTTAAAAGGCCTCTTGCCTACTGTTTCTGACACAAGAACAGGCCATGGAAGTTTAAAGCTGTTAATCACAATAGGCTGAGTTTAGTTGGTATACCTGTTGAATTAGCTGATGGAACTAGGTTTATTTTAATCAGTGGTGAAATCTAGAATTTTCTTAGTGTTTCTGAAGACAGTACTTCGTCAGCCTGAAGTTGCTATCAAAAGCAACTTCCCCGGAACCCTTTGGGGTTTTAAAACATGGCTACTCAGTGCAGTATGGTAGTATGTTGATGTTTTTCACCTCTACCCATAAGACAATCAGACAAACTTTTTAAGATGGAGTCTTGCTCTTTTGCCTAGTTTGGGTGATCTTGGCTCACTGCAATGTCTGCCTCCTCGGCTCAAGCGATTTTCTTGCCTCAACCTCTCATGTAGCTGGGATTATAGGCGCCTACCCCATGCCCAGCTAAATTTTGTATTTTTAGTACAGGTGGGGTTTCACCCTGTTGGCCAGGCTGGTTTTGAACTCCTGACCTCAAGTTATGCTCTACATACCACCTCTACCCCGAGGCTACCGGAGTCAGGGACATTCCTGGGGTCATATAGGGCGTTGTTGGTAGGGCTGGTCCACATTTTAGGGCCCAGGTGTCTTAAGGTGGGCTACCATGCTTTCCCCACGGGGAGCCAGACTTAGATGCCAGAAGACCTTGGTTCGAGTCCTGACTCTTCTATTCCGAATGCAGATTCTAAGAAAGCTCCTAACTTCCTCAGCCTCCCAAAGTGCTGAGATTACAGGCGTGAGCCACTGTGGCCTTTTTTTTTTTCCTGAGACGTCTTGCTTGGTCACCCAGGTTGGAATATGTGGGGTCATCTCGATTCACTGCAACATACCTCCCAGGCTCAAATGATTCTCACGTCTCAGCCTCCCAGTAGCTAGAATTACAGATGCCCATCACCATGTCTGGCTGATTTTTTGTATTTTTAATAAGAGACAAGGTTTAACAATGTTTGGCCAGGCTGGTCTCATGTTCTGACCTGAAATGATCTATCTGCCTGCCTCAGCCTCCTAAAGTGGTGGGATTACAGGCGTGAACCACAATGCCCGGCCAAGACTTAAGCAACTTTTAATCTTAGAGGTGTTAGGGAATAAAATAAATTCCTTTGAAAAAGTGGCAGGAAAATAACTAGATTATATCTCAAAAAGGGACTCAAAACCAGACTTGAGAGGTCATGAGGAGTGTGGATGTAATCCTAAGGAAAGGTTTAGGACCTGCCTTTGCAGGCCGTGGTTGAACCTTTGTTTTCCATGTTTGTGTTCCTTTTATCTTTATTCCTTCCTAAGGACAGTTTTGAGTCCCACCCTATCTTCCCCAAGAGCTAAACAAATGTATTCCTACATAACTATGTAAACAAGTCTCTTAGCAGATGATGCTGATTAGATAATAGATAAAACAATTTGAACAGGTAGGTATATATGGTTATAATCAGCAAAAATGGTAGGTAGTAGCCTATTCAAAGATCTGCGTTTTTAAGAGGCTGTGATCCAAATTTGTGATTCTTGTTTTGGTATTAGCTCTCTGTTAGTCCTGCACATTTGCCAAGTCCTGCACATTTTACAGATAAAACTATATTGTCTTGGTTTTATTTGTACCCGACCATACAAAATGATATAAAAGTCCCAAGTAACTAAGCATGATTGACTTTTTGCAAGTGTTAATATTGGTAATCATTTACTTGATCTTTATTTGCGTATGATATGCAAAATGTTTAAATTTTATTAGAGATAATTTGAAATTTGTGAATTCTGGCTATTTGAATATTTTTCTTTGAATTGGGAAACCACTCATTTTGGCAATAGTTTGCCGTACTCAATTTTGGTGGCCCTTTGTGTTAAAACCAGAAAACTAGTGAACTTAAGGGAATTAGTGAGATAACATTGTGTTAGTGTATGTATGTCTCCTGTTTTCTACTTGTCAAAGAGTTTTTTCCCTCTGCTAACTTGATGCATTCTCCCAGTTTTTTCATTTCATTAGCTATTTTTGAGTTTGTTTTGCTTAACTGCATCTTGTATTCACTTTTCATATTTGGTGTCAAATTTGATTTTTCGGAAGCATCACCTCAATCATGTCAAAAGGGAAAAAAGGGGGTCTGAATATTTTATGTTAGAACTTCTGAAGTCTAATTCTACAGTATTTTTGAGCATTTATTTCTCTTTTGGGTCACAAAACTTGAAATGGGATTTGGGTATTTGAATAATGGATAAAACACATACATGGGTTAGTTCAGAAATTTAGTGACTTAAGATACTTATCAGGCACTGTTACAGAGTTCCCGGCAAGAGGCAGATTTGGTTTCTGGTTTCATAGAGTTTACAGTCACTGAACAAGTCTTCAAGTAGCAAATTCTAAGTTGGGGATAGGTGAGGCTTCTTTGGTAGACACCCTGTGTTCCCGGCCAAGGCTTGATGATTCCGATAGATGTACTAGAAATGCTGGAGAGACTCAGGCAAGGCTGGAGTTTTTGCTGCTCTCTAGTTTACCAGACTGGCTTTCAGAATTTGCTTTGGGACCAGAATCCAGGCTGCCGTGGGAGGGGCTAGGCTCTGCAAGGGGAGCACTCCTTCCCTTTGTAGGTGCCATTTCCCACAGCTCCTGGAGTTGTTTCTTCAGTTGTGGCAGCTATGTAGATAATTTTCGTTTTATCTGTAAAGTTAAAAAGGGCCATAGGTGTAGAGGGAGAACAAGGGGAGTAAAACAATGAAACTTGTTTAATCTGGAAAATAATACCAACTGAGACCTAAGATGTGCTGTATATATATATTTCCATCTCTGCCGTCTCTCCTGTGATTTAAATTCATTTCCCCCTCAATCTCTCTAATGGTAGTAGTAGTAATAAAAGTCCTAATGAATTAGACTATTGAGTCTTCATCATTTCATCTCTAACTTCTTTGTACATACAGTGAAACAACAGGGGAGATGGGTTTGTTTATGTTTGCAGGGACTGTGTTGCATTCAGGGAATAAGGAGGCAGGGAGGAAAGATCTTTGAGAAAGTCTAACCAAGAGAGTTTCCAGTTCTTCCCACCAAATCCAATTGTTCTACCTTTTTTCTTGCCCACAGTGTAGGTGGTAATGCAAATTTGAAGATAGCTTTGATTCCCGCACCTTTCTATACAGATGGGAGAATTCTTTGTACAGAATTCTCCCATCTGTATAGAAAGGTGCAAGAATCAAAAGTTTAAAAACGACAGATTTTTCACCCTGACAATAGCTTCTTGGGGCCATTAGGTCCAAAGAAATAAGTTGTTTTGATTTAGTGTTTCCATTGGGGTCTTCTGAAATGTATTGTGTGGAAAGCTTTTTGTAAGTCTTGAGAGCTAAAGCTCCATAGAATGTTGTCCTTTGAGGTCACTCCAGGTCCTTCTGGTTCTAAAACCTCAAATCTATGAACTTAGTTGATCTAGAAACTTTTGTGGACTTTTTGTGAGAAGGCAGCAAATCTGTTGAGTTCCTCTCAGATAAGCATCAGACTAGATTCTTAAAACTCCACTGTAGCTTTGAACCAAAGCTTCTAAAATGGTTCTAGAGCATGGTCAGCCTTTACTTGTTTAGTTTTGGCTGGCAACCTAATTACATCATAGTTAACTGCAAAGGGAGAGAGAATCAGTATTTGCTAGTATAACGTGGCAAATTCAAACAGGGAAAGTTGTGTATTTCTCCTAGGGTTTAAATCACAGTCCCTAGGGTCTAGAAAAGCTTTTGAAGGGGACTTCAATTCGTGGACATGAAGGGGCAGTTGAAGGATTTGGGTAAGCAGTTAGGGACAATATACTAATCTTAAGAGTTATAGTGAAATGTGTTATAAAGTAGGTTTGAGTGTGTTTTTTTAAATTGGTGTTAAAGTGCACTTTGAGGAAGGCACTGTGGTCTCTGGTCTGTCTTGAGGTTCGATTATATTTTGAAAGGTAATGCTCTGAGCATTTTAGAGAAGAAGAGATGCTTTATTACCCCGTGGTGGTAAGAATAAAGTACAAATCATATTAATCAAGTGTATTGTGGGGGTAGTAACTGTTTAACCCTATGCTTAAGTTTCCTTTACTGTGTAACTAGGGTTGAGAAATCTTCTTTTTCTTTATTGCGTTCATATGTTTTTCCTCATATGGGGGTGCCAGTGGTGCTGTGGTTCTGATCTGGTTCCAGGAAATGAAAACCTGGTCCTGGGAAACTGAAACTTCCCCAACTCTTGTGAATAGTGGCCTTTAACACAACTAGTAATCTCAGTTGTCCAAGGCAGTTCTATCCTGTGATGTCTCCCCACTGACACAAAGCAGCCCAAATTGCTTCAGTTGTATGAGGTAAACTGCATCCACAATTTTGTTCTTCCAGCCAGAAGGAAGAAATGGAGTGCAGTTGTTGAAGTAGACTTGGATCTTTAAAGCCTCTTGCATGCTTCTTGGGGCTACCTGGTTCTTAGTGACTTAAGAATTAAAGCCCTATCTCAAAAGTCCCTGCTAGAAGCTTGGCTTGTTGGTAGGCTCAGGTTCAATATTGGAGCAGAACTTGAAGTGGGGAGAATTCAGTACTCACCCTTGGGAGTCTTGAATTTCTCATAGCACCTAAATATGGCAATAAGGAGAAGCCCTTCTCCAAGCTGGAAAATCATGTAGAGAAGGGGAAAGAAGAAAAGTGGTCCAATGATTTCAGGGGGAAACGCCACATTGAGGATGGTGGAACAGAGTTGGACATTTTGGCATCCAGTCTCCATGCTGACAGTACGCCTGCACCTGTGTTGGTGAAGAAAACCCCATATGCACTCAGAAGGAACTAGAGGAAGCAACTTGGCTTGTGCTCCACCCCACCCCCCAGCCCAGATACTCTAGGATTCACTGAACAGTCCAGCATAAGAAGGTGGAAGGGAGCCAGGTGTGTGGAATGCACATCAGTTCTAAGAAAAGTAGACTCAGTTGACACCAATCCAGCGCTGTGAGGGGATGGTGACCCGTACTCAGGAAGCTTTTGTGAGATGTTTTTTTGAGTAACTTGGAAATCTATGATTTGTGTAGAGTTGCTAAATTAAAATTTGTAGAAATGTCTGGCTACTGAGGGATGAAAGGAAGGAGCCAATATCTATTAAATGGTTTGTTATATTGGGCTCGTAGGACAATTACATTTTTAATATATATTAGAAAAAGTTTGTCTGAAATGTCTGGGACCTTGTCCTGTTTTCCAAGTTTCTGGCTTACATATCTTTAAAACATGTAATGATTAAAGATAAAAGCAAAACCTGATTCAGTCCCATTGTCTATCTTTGAAACACATTTTCTTGGTTTTGCTTTACATTTTGTGGATTAAAGGGTGAGATGTTTACATGTAATGAATACACATGTAATTCATTGCATTGCAACTTACTGTGTTAAAATAGTTATCTACTAGAAAAAAACCTGAGAGACATTATAGCACATTTATTATGGTGGAGACTACTGTAGTGACACATGGTTCTGTGGCCAATTATGGTCTGCATCACCCTCTGTTTTGGTGAAAGCCAACATTACCAAGTGGTCATCGACAGCCTTTTGACTCACTATATCATGTTTTACATCCTGCGGTAATTTGTTGTTTAACATGTCTTTAAAAATGGATAATTACGTTTAAAATTATATTTTAAAAATCTTTTTTTTAAAAAAATGGGGTGCTACTAATGTTTAGATTTCTGCATAAGCACTTGTCTACTGTGGCTAAAAAGAGGAAAAGTCTTCATACTACTCTTGTTAGGTTGTCTGATGTTCATGTACCATGCCCTCAAACTGTTCCTACAGAGGAGCAGCTGTGTTTGTGAACTGGATTACATTAGTCAAGGTTCACAGCTACTTCAGCTCTTGAGTGTCACCCAGTGGTGTCCGTGTTGGGACTGAAGCCTAGGCAGAAGAGGAGAAGTGGGCAAGGAAGAGGAGTATTATCAACACCTGTCACGACATGAAACTACCCCAGGGCCACTACCAAGGAGTTGGTCAGCAGAGGGAATCTAGATGCTACTTTGCTGTTGCTATTGATGTTTGGATGCCTTTGGTGTCTGCATTCTTAACCCATTCAGTCCTCCCCTCAATTATTTTCAAGTCGAAAGTCTATTGTCCAGTTCGTGCATTTGAACATATTGCTAGGGAAATGCGTTGCGCAGATTTCAGGTTCTAGCTGCTTTTCCTGAAAGACTAGGACAAGAATGAAGCCCATGGGAGAGTGGGACCTAAAATACCTATTGCCAGGTGTGCAGTGGCTCACGCCTGTTATCCTAGCACTCCGGAAGGCTGAGAGGCAGGCAGATCACTTGAGCTCATTAGTTCAAAACTAGCCTGGGCGACATGGCAAAATCCCATCTCTAGACAAATGAGTTGGGCATGGCGGCTTGTGCCTGTAGTCCCAGTTACTTGGAGGGGGCTGAGGCAGGAGGATCACTTATGCGCAGGAGGTTGAGGCTGCAGCGAGCCGAGAATGTGCCACTGCCTTCTAGCCTGGGCAACAGAGTGAGACACTGTCTCAAAAAAATTCAGTAATACCTACCGTCCATTGAGGCAGAAGAGAGCAGAGAGAACATAACCCAGCAGAAAACCAATACAAGGCATCAGGGAGGAGGTGGTCACCAAGAGCGGTGTCATGGCAAACAAGATGCTCTTGCCCACGTTGATGGCAGAGAGGACTATGACGGTCACACTGCACAAGAGAATGATGATCATCCCTCCCTGGGAATAAAGATAAGGCAATTAGAAGGGTTGGGGATATGGAGGAACAGAGAGGTGGGGAGGCACTAAAAAATTGGAAGTGGAAGGCAATATGAAAGATCTTTATTTTCTTTTTGGATTTCTTTGCTTTAAGAAAGTTATTTTTTTATTAATGTTAGAGACAGGGTCTCACTGTGTTGCCCAGGCTGGTCTTAAACTCCTAGACTCTAGTACTACTCCCACCTTGGCCCTCCAAAGAGCTAGGATTACAGGTGTGAGCCACTGCACCCAGCCCATCTTTTTATTACAATTTATCATGTCTATAGGATAATCTTAACATTTAAAGTGGTAAAATATGTATAGCAAAGTTTGCCAGTTTAATCACTTTGAGTGTACAGTTCAGTGGCTTTAAGTACATTCATAATGTCCTAATGACATTTTAACATTTATATTGCCCAGATTTCAGCTGCACAGCTTTGTGTTTCTGTTTTTAATCCTTTTTGCAACTGATGTGATCATATAGAACATCACCTATACCAATTAGTGGTCCTATCCCAGCATGGAAGGACTTTCACACCTCTTCAATAACCATGTGCTTCAAGTTTTATTAAAAGATGTGTTAGGTAATGAACTCAGTTTACCCTTGCATTTTTAGTTGATTTCCCCTTTTGAATTTCTGTCTTTCGAATTTGTCCTCTACCCAAGGGTCAGATAGTTTTTATTTCCATCAAGAGTGTAATGATAATGTAGGAGATACTGTGCTACAGGAATTGTCCACAAATCCAGAAGCCCTCTCCCTCTGTATAGGCATTCACTCTCATTCTCTCACTCATGCTCTCCAATTCTTGGGGTCTGCAGAATGGTGGTTACGAGCACAGACTTTGATATGATCCAGGTGGGAAAGCTGACTCTGCTAATCTCCAGGTGTGTAAGCTTTGGGGATTCACGCAACCTGAGGGAGGTTGAGGACATAGGACCTGGCATATAGGAACTCACTAAACTAACTCTTATTATAACTCAAAGGAGAGGAAATTAACATTTTAGAGTTTTCTGTCACTCTCACTGCTGCTATCTCTGGAAATTTATCCTGTCTACAATTCCTGCTGAGACAAGTGGCCTTGGGTAGTTGCTTCTTCATAGGCCACCATGTTTTGTACCACCTGACTTCATTGCCCTGCTCACAACTGGAATGAGTGCCCATTCATGGGCAGCCAATCCATTGACTTGCCAGTGACACATGAGATGACATGTCCATAGTCTACCGACAAAGATGGCCTGTGCAGGCTGAGTAGTAAAAATAATCAGATATCTCATCTAGGAAGTTTACAGGATTACAGAGAGGAAAGCAATAGCAGGGACAAGTGTTAAAACACATAGACGCCTGGGAGCAATAAAAGCCACAAGTTGACAGAAACTGTAAGACAAAGGAGAGTCAGGGGTCAGTTCATCAGTAGCAGCAGGTATGGAAAAGCATGAGTAGAGTGTTGAGTCAGTGAAATGGCAGAATTAAAGAATGGTGGATGGCTGATCATGAAAGTGGCTCCTGGCCATGTCATGCTCAGATTCATCAGCTTCTAACCACATAACTTTGGAGAAACCCTTGCATGGGTAATTTAAAAATTACTTGAATTGCTTTTCAAAATGAGCATCCCTGAAATTGTATCTTAGCATATCTAAATGTGACCTTTCTTCCACCAGTGAATGTAACTGGTTGAAGCCAGTGTGAGCAGATAGCTGCTGCCAGAGCTAGTTATTGAAAGTTGGGTTATTTGGATTTGCAAGGTCCTAGGAGGGCTAAGTGTGCAAAGAGGGTAGGTCAATCATTTGTTCATTTCCAGTTTGGCGCTCACTATATTATTTATGGGATAGGGTGATGAGGGACGAGCATAGTCCTCAAAGAGCCATAGAAACAAGGATGCCTCAGCCTTTGCAGCTTGTCGCACACGTTCGTTTGCATCCTTACAGGAGTGACTCCAGCTTTGGAATATAGGAAGATCAGCATAGCTGTTGACTTTGTGGTTGTTTAACCCTGGAGGTTTAGTCAGGGGCAAAATGGGTCCCGGGTATGCCTGGGTTTTTTAGATCACTTTTTATGTAGTCCCTTATTACTGGTCTCTGTCTTTCTAGCCAAGGTATTTCTTAGCCCTTTTAATGTTCTCTGGTCTCATTTTGACTTCATTTTCCCTGTGGCATTGAACAGTGAATGTGCAACACAACAGGAACAGAGACTAGTTGAGATAATCCTGGCTCTGCCAAGTAACTTTTCAGGGCCTCAGTTACTCTATCTGCAAATTGGGAATAAGGCAGGAGACTCAACTTCATCCTGAAGCCTTCTCTAGCTTTAAGATCTGAGATTCTGCTTTTTGCATCCTCAGAGAAACACTTTTAAAGTTACTTTGAGGTATAAAGGAGACATGCTGTCATGTCAGTTATCATTAGTAGTGTGACTTGTTATTAGTAGTGTGACTTGGTATTCTGGTCTCCAGTTTTCCTACCTCTAAAATGGGCAGAGTAGCATTAAATGATAGCAGGGGTCAGTTCACATTTTAATATTCTTTATATCTTATATGTATTTCTTTAAGATAGTTTGTGGGGTGTATAGGATTTTTTAAAAACTAAAGCAATCTTATGCACCCCACAAACTATCTTAAAGAATGACACGCACAAACATGTTTCTCTGTGTATGTTGTTTTTCTGCTGGTGTGTGGAAGAGGAGCAGATAGGACTTGCCCTTCATTCCTTTATTCTCAGGCATTAGCTATGGGGGCACTGTGATACATGCTGTGGATTCAGTGTTAATTAAGACATAGCTTTATGGTCTTGCTTCTTGAGAAATGAGTGGGGAATAAAAATGAATAGGTATGGCTGCGCACAGTGGCTCACACCTGTAATCCCAGCACTTTGGGAGGCCAAGGTGGGCAGATCATAAGGTCAGGAGTTGGAGACCAGCCTGACCGACACGGTGAAACCCCATCTCTACTAAAAATAACAAAAATTGGCCTGGCATGGTTGTGCACACCTGTAATTCCAGCTACTCAGGAGGCTGAGGCAGGAGAATTGCTTGAATCCAGGAGGCAGAGGTTGCAGTGAGCCGAGATCACCCCACCGCACTCCAGCCTGGGCAACAGAGCGAGACTCCATCTCAAAAACAAACAAAAAAACCCAGGTATTCTTAATGCAGTGATTGCTACAGGGGTTAGCTGGAGCGTTGGGTACTATGGGAATGAATAGGACAAGCATCCTTCTCAGGCTTAGGAGGTTAAGGAAGGCTTACTGGAGGAGACACTAATTGTGTTGAGATTTAAAGGGTGAGTGGGGTGAGAATTGGGAAGAAGAGTGTTCCATGCAAAGGGAAGGGCAAGTGGAAAATAGCTGAGACTGGTAGATCAGTTGAGACCAGATCAAGTGCCACATTAAGGAGTTTAAACTTTATCCTAGGGGAAAGGAACCAATGAGAGGCCTTAAGCAGTGGAGTGACATGATAAGAGTTTGTACTTTACATCTTCACCCTCAGGTTGAAACTGGGTCAGGAGGTAGGATGAGAAGGCCATTTAAGTTGTCTAGTGAGAGGTGAGGATGGAAAGGAATGAGTGGATTCCAGCAACACAAGGTGGAATCAATGGTCATTGATTAGATGGATGTGGGTGGTGAAGGAGAGGAGGACACTGAGAATGATTCCCAGTTTTTGGTTGAGGCAGTTCGGCATGCAGAATGCCACTGACTGAGATAACACAAGGGGAGGAGATGACTTTAATTTAACATATATTAAGTTTTAAATTCCTGAGGTATATTCAGATAGAATGACCTGGTAGATAATAAATGGATTCTAGAGTTGGGAGAGAGTTGACATCTGATGATGCTGTTCTGGAAGTCTCAGCTTGCAGATGGTAATTGCAGACCTGAGAGGGACCAGATCCTGGGCTAGGAGAGGTCTGGTGAGAAAGGCAAAAAGCTTAAACTGAATGCAGAGAAGTGCCTTTGACCAGAGGAACTCATAAGGGAGTCTGAAGGAGTTTACGAGAGGTGGGAGGAAAGCAGCAGAGCTTGGAGTCACCAAAGCTGATAGAGAAGGTTTTTGAGGAGGAGGCAGTGGTCAATTATGTCCAATGCTGCTAAGGTAAGGAAGGATTGAGAAATGTCCATTGGATTTGACAAAGAAAGTGGAGCAGGTGGTCATCAAGATGCTGGGTGGATGGGAAACCACGGGGAAGAGAAGAGAGGGATTCAAATAATGGAAATTAATTGCTGAGGGCCTGGTCACTCGTGAGAGAGCTCTGGCAGTAGCATGGGGGAAGAGGAAGGTGTTAGAGAGGGAGATACTGACACACACACAGAGAGGGAGGAGTGAGGGGGACTTTTCCTGAAGCCTGGCTAGGAAGAGGGGGAACAAAGGGAGGTGTTAGGTGGAATGGGAGGTGGATTTCACAAAAAATCCTAGTGAGATATTTTTTGTTTTGTTTTTTGAAGATGTGTGAGTCTGTATCAAAGCTGATTGTGAAGAACCAATACAGAGATGCTTTACAAATTAGAGTGAGAGAGGGGAGGCTGCTGGGGCGGGGACATAATCAATAAAGGGAGGTCTCTGAGATGCAAGGGTGGAGAGGATGATGTAATCCCCATCATAGATCCCAGGGATTACATCATGCCAAGGGCACAGAAGGTGGAGCAGGTGGTCATCACAATGCTGGTGGGAGACAAGGGAAGAGGCGGGAGAGAGAGCCCATGAATATAGGTTATTTTGTTGAGTGCCTGCTAAGTGCCAGTCACTGTGCTAAGTGGCTTCAGTTCCTTGCCCCCATATCCTTAGGCAGTAAGCATACTATCTTCTTTTCCATGACTGGCGTCGGAAAGTAGGAGGGATCATTCCTTCAATGTCCTCCAGCAGGTGGGAAGGGGAGCTATGGCCATGGCACTGGGAGAGGGCAAGGGCAAAAACTCCTCTTGAGACAATGGTAGTGTGAAAATAACCCGCCCCCCCCCCCAAAAAAAAGGGGAACTCTTGGCTTCTTTGTTCCAGGCCCAAAGCTTCTGCCAGACGCTGAGGTTCTCAGCACGCCCTGCAGACCAGGCCAGAGGCATTGATCCAGGGGCAGAGATAGTACAGGAGATCAAGTCCTTCCTGAGGACCAGGATGACCCCCTGGCCCTGGGGGATTAACAGGGAGCCAAGGGGGAGGCTGGCAGGGACAGAACTCCAATGTTGAAAGTGTTGGTGGAGAGACTGTAGCTGCACTCTAAGAGTCTGGGATTCTCCTGCACACAAGGCAGAACCTTACAACCTTTGTGGCCTTAACTCCACCTCCCACCCCATCCCTCTCCTGAAATGCTGGGAGTGGGTATACCACCTCTCTCCTCTAGCTTCTTATCACATCAGCCAGATTTGCCCTTGGTGCCCTCTGAACTCCTCTATTCAGGCTTCTCCCCAGGTTTACCCAAATGCCTCAAGCCCTTTCTTTTTAAGAAGCCTCCTTGACCACTCCAGCCGTCACTGTTCCCATCTCCTTGCCTTCTGCAGATACTTGTGTGTACATTGGAATTGGATCTTGTTTCTCTCATGTGTTACTTCACTTTTTTTTTTTTTAAATTTTTCTTTCTTGACACAGTCTTACTCTATGGCCCAGGCTGGAGTGCAGTGGCATGATCTCAGCTCACTACAACCTCCGCCTCCCTGGTTTACGTGATTCTGCTGTCTCAGCCTCCTGAGAAGCTGGGATTACAGACATTTGCTACTACGTCTGGTTAATTTTTTTTTTTTTTTTTTGTATTTTTGGTAGAGACAGGGTTTCGCCATGTTGGCCAGGCTAGTCTCAAACTCCTGACCTCAAGTGATCCACCCACCTCAGCCTCCCAAAGTGCTGGGATTACAGGCGTGAGCCACCGTGCCGACCTCATGTGTTACTTCGCTTTCTGCAAATATCAAACTCTGGTGACAGTGAAACTCCTCAGAGTGCATAGCATAAAACTTAGTATCTAGTAGAAGCATAGATATGTTTATTATTAATATAATGATTATGCCTTATAGTTGTATATGGTGTTTTTACTCTTTTGCCCTAATTTGTCAAGCCCCCAGGTTCTTACCTTGACAACATATCGCACATATTGTGGCCATTTGGATTTGAGGACGATTCCTATGGTGCAAGGAATGAGAACCAGGATCAGTGATATCATGATGCCTCCATAGGGCACCTTGTCCTTCAGGTCCCCATCATAAATCCCCCTGGAGTAGATGTACAGGAGGAGAGGCATCATGCCAAGGGCACAGAAGGTGGAGCAGGTGGTCATCACAATGCTGGTGGGAGACATGGGAAGAGGAGAGAGAGAGAGCTCATGAATACAGACTATTTTGTTGAGTGCCTGCTAAGTGCCAGTCACTGTGCTAAGTTCTTTACAATGTAACTAGAGTTCCTTTCCTCCATATCCTTAGGCAGTAAGCATACTATCTTCTTTTCGCTGACAAGGAGGCTAGAGACTAGAAGAGTTGTGTCCTGCTCAAAATCACCTGAGGTAGTAAGTAGCTGAGACAGGATTTGAACTTAGGCTGGTTCAACTGCTTCAACCCCTGTGTGATTCATTGTGGAAAGAGCCATTCTGATCTCCTCTATAACAGAACTCTTTTTGCGTTGAGCACCTGCCCCATCCCAGCCAATTTTGTAGAAAGCTAACTGTGTGATCCCATTACTGTGGTCATTAGCCCATTGAACCATGGAATAGCACCTGACCCACAGTTACTAAATGTCTGGTTTAGAGCTTAGGGAATGGCTGGTTGTAGTGGCTTTGTCCAGTGGAGACAATAACAATTAGCTATATCAGCACATTTTACCTCGTGGGGAATCTGAGTGTGAGACACAGTGACAGAGCACTTGACCTTTGGGAACAGGTGGTGTGGAGTGATGGTCAGGCAGAAGCCAAAACCCTACTAAGAAAAAAATCAATAAACAGATACCATGATTAAAAGGACTGTGAAATAAATAGTGAAGCAGTAAGAAACAGAATAATTGAAGGGCCATAGTGGTGGAGTAGTAGAGAAGGCAGCAACAGTTACCCATGTTGAGTAAATGACAGGATAACCTGGTTAGGCTTGCTTTGCATCTTGGATAATATTCCAGTCCCCTACTCTGTTGTTCTCCTGTTCTTAATTTTCTGGTTCCTCCTGATATTATTTAAAATAAATTGAGAGTGAGACTCATAGCCTGAATAATATATCCTTCCAGCGCTAATCTGTATCCTACTTGTCCAATTTCATTTTCCATTTGGAATCTTATATTTGTTAGTCCCAGGACCATGTCTAGGGAGATGCCCTCCAGAAGGGTCAACTGAGAAGGAAGCTGATAGGGCATCTCCTTGGATTTATGGACATTCACATTAACAATATATGACTCTGACTTCCATTCCAGTGGGAAGGTGGTTGGGAGGTGAGGGCTTGGCAAGACCCTAGGAAAACCACACTAAGTGTGTCCCTCCTTCTCCCCACAGCCCTACCATCCATCTACACTTCTTTCATTATTTCCATAATGATGGAATCTAGCTTAAATATGCATCAAGAGTAGCCTAGATCAAAGGTATTAGAGTGTAGCCATCAAGAACAATAGGTAGACATGTCATAAGGGATAAGAGCTGTTAGAGGTGAGGAGAGGCCCTCAAAGAAAATTGTGAGGTAGATAATAGGAACTCCCCCACCCCCAGGAACACTTAAATACACACTTGAGCTTGTAAGAAAGTAAGGGAGGCTGGCATTGTGGCTCATGCCTATAATTCCAGCATTTGGGAAGGCCGAGGAGGGAGGATTCCTTGAAGCCAGGAGTTTGAGACTGGGCTGGGCAACAAAGTAAGACCCCTGTCTCTACACACAAACAAACAAAAAACCACACGCATAAAAATTAGCCAGGTGTGGTGGTATGCACCAGTAGGCCCAACTACTTGGGAGGCTGAGGCAGGAGGATGGCTTGGATCCAGAAGGTTGAGGCTACAGTGAGCTATGTTAGCGCCACTCTACTCCAGCCTAGGTGACAGAGTGAGACACTGTCTGAAAAAAAAAAAAAAAGTTCCCATGGACAAGAAACAAATGCAAAGTAGTGGGGGAGCTCAAGCTGAAGCTTCACTGTGTAGAGGGGTTACAGAGGGGAGTGGAGTGTTAGTCTTGGCACTCTGGAGGCTTTAATGCCCAAGGGAGCGACCAGAATTGAGGTCTTAGAGTTGGGATGTGAGGGGCATTGAAACTGAGCAACCAATAATAAAAGAATTATGGTGGGGAGGGGGACTTTCTAATTATATCATCAATGAAATCATAGTGGAAAAGTATTTAGAATAGAAAAATAATAAAAGACATATTTGAAAAACAAGGAGGGGGGCTTTGGATTAGGCAATGGTTTCTTAAATATGACACCTAAAGCACAAACACCCAAAGAAATAACAGACAAATCAGACTTTATTAGTATTAAGAACTTGTGATTCAAAGGACACCATCAAGAAAGTGAAAAGGCAGCCCAGAGAATGGGAGAAAATATTTGCAAGTCATATATCTGATAAGGGTCTAGTAATTCAGAATACATGAAGAACTCTTATAATGTAATAATAAAAAACAAATTAAAAATGGGCAAAGGATTTGAATGAGATATTTCCCCATAGAAGATATACAAATGACCAATGAGCACATGAAAAGATGCTCAACATCATTACTTATTAGGAAAATGCAAATCAAAACCACAATGCGATACTGCTTTATACCTACTAGCATGGCTATAATTAAAAAGATGGACAATTACAAGTGTTGGAGAGTATGTGGAAAATTTGGAATCCTCATACACTGCTGGTGGGAATGTAAAATGGTGCTTTGGAAAGTAGTTTGGCAGTTTCTCAAAAATTTAAACAAAAAATCATCATATAATCCAGCAATTCAACTCTTAGGTATATATTCCAAGGGAATGGAAAGGATGTTCACACAAAAACTTGCCTATGAACTTTCAAAGAGATTATTCATACTAGGCAACAAGTAGAAAAAACCCATATGTCCATCAGCTGAAGGAATGGATGAACAAAATTTATTGTATCCATACGATGGGATATTACTCAGTTATAAAAAAGGGAAGTATTGTGACATGCTATGAATGAATGAACCTTGAAAATATTATGCTAACTGAAAGAAATCTAGAATGCATATGAGATAAAAATATCTCATTCAAATACTTTGCCCATTTTAAACTTGTTTTTTATTATTGCATTGTAAGAGTTCTTCATGTATTCTGAATACTAGACCTGTATCAGGCATATGACCTGCAAATGGTTTTCCATTTATGTGAAAACCACAGAGACAGAAAGTAGATTAGTGGTTGTCAAGGGTTGGAAGGGGAGAGAGAAATGGGGACTCCTGCTAAATGGGATAGAGTTCCTTTTCAGGGTGTTGAAAATGTTCTGAAATTAGATAATGGTGATAGCGTCACAGCCTTGGAAATGTGCTAAAAACCAATACAGATCAGGGAAAAGAGAGATGGCACAAACTGATGATGTTAGAGTGAAAAAGGGAACATAATTACAGAGACGATGAAGAGTTTAAAAAGTCATAAAAGAAACTAAGGACATTTTCATACTTTAATTTTCAATTATATGTATTTTTTCTTTTTTTCTTTTGTTTGTACAAACTGAGAAATGGCATTACATTTTCAACTTAAAGGGACGATTTCATGGAAATTATAGCCTACAAACCAAGTCAATATGAAGCCAAAAACCTGATTCACCTTAGAATCATTAAAGACATTTAATAAACAGTTCAAAACCTATCTTCTAGAACCTGACATGATTTATACTGTCTTACAGTAGTGTTCTACTAAACATGAAAAGTGGAGATTGTTGCAATATTATACAAATCTGTCCAGAAAATATGGAAAGGAGACACATGCCTCAATTTTTTGCACAAGGTTAATATCTTGGAACTAAAGCTGGTGAATGATATTATGAGAAAGGAAAATTGGGGACCAATCTTATTTATGAACATAGAAGCAAAAATCATAAAATATGTTTTAAAAAAGGAATACAATGAACAAGATAAGAATGATTTAACATTAATCTATTAATGTATATATTACTACATTATTAGATTAATGAAATGATATAATTTTGTAGATACAGAAAAGTCATTCAACAAAATTTAATGTTCTCACCTAATAAAAATTTAATACACTAGCAACAAAATAAAATTCCTTAACTTGAAAGGAAATCTATTAAACATCTATATTAAACATTAAACTTCATGGTAAAAAGTTAGAGGAGTTTTCTTTAACAAGAGAAATAAAAGCAAAGATATTCATTATTATTACCTCTTTTATAAATTATACTATATATAGGCCCTAATAAGCACAGCAAAACAAGAAATAGAAAAAATATAGGAATGGGAAAATAAGAAACAAAACTTCCTTGTTTTGCCAAAGATAGGATTGTCCATAGAGGAAATCTAAGTGATTTTCCATTAAAACTGGTAAGAGAATGTATGAGGTTCTAAATACATTAGCATCAGTCAATCAATCAGTTGGGTTTGATATACTAGAAACTAATTTTTTTTAAAAAGACATCATTTATAATATTCACAAAAACTAGAAAATATTTATAAATCTAAAAGAGACATGTAAGATCTTTATGAAAGAAATTATGAACCTTTATAGAAAGGTATTAAAAAAGGCCTAAGTAAAAGAAAAGCTATACCACATTCATAGATGGGAAGCTTCACTATTTTAAAGGTGGTCTCTCAATTTGTGTATAAATGTAATGCACATTTAATTAAAATTCCAGACGTATAATTTTTTTGTAGACTTGAAAGCTGATACTAAAATTCAAGTGAAAGAGTAAAAGGCTAAGAATAGCTAACATGATTTTCAGGTACAAGGTGGGGAGACTTAGCTTTCAGATACCAAGACTTACAAAATTGTAATTAAGAAAGTGTGGAACTGGTACAAGGATAGCCACACAGACCCAAAGAAGAGAAGAGAGATCCCAGACACAAATGAGAGAGATGACATTACAAATGACTGGAGAAAAATTCACTCAACGTGACTGGGAATCTTCTATCTATACGGAAAAGATAAAATTAGTTCATACCATACATAAAAATAAGTTCTTCCATGTGAATCAAACATTTGAAACTTTTCAAAGAAAATATAGGGGAATGTCTTTGTAACTTTCTAGGCAGTAAAATTTTTTTTTTTTTTTTTGAAACGGGGTCTTGCTCTGTTGCCCAGGCTGGAGTGCAGTGGCATGATTTTGGCTCACTTCAACCTCCACTTCCCGCGTTCAAGTGATTTT